CTCAATTCTAAGAAACGACAGCAAGCTAGCCAACCGCCTTATATTATCCTGGGGTTGAGGTTAAGCCCACTGTTATCCACAAGTGTCGGTGACAGCAAGATTCAGGGAATAATGGGCTCGACATGATACTCTCCCATCAAATTGGGTACGCAACTGATTTAACACTATGGTGCTCAAAGGGTGGTGGGTGTTCACCAGAATTCGGGGGCTGGCGGGGAGACCGACATCTGAGGATGTGGTGAGCATTGTGGAGGTGGAGAAGGCGGTACCTGTAACCCTTGCTAGGCGAGAGGCAAAGATATAAAATGAACCAAAATTCAAAAGAAGAAACCACCTAAACGAAACAAAGATAGTCTTATCGGGGTGTCCAGGCAGGTGGGAGGGGGGAGGATGGATGGGTCCTAGAATTACATAGATAGTGAGTGGATTTGCAGCCAATCTGGGGGATGGCCAGGCTTTGAGCTCTGGGACTCCAGGGGCAGGGGGTCGGGTCAAGGGCAATGAGTACATAGACCTTAACGTTTGTCAGTCCCCATTATTATTTGCTGAATAAAAAAAGATAAAAGAAAAATAAACCGACCAACTCACTAATGGCTAGCACTGAGAGAAAATAAGTGTTGGCATGGCATTAGGGTGAGGTTACGGACTACAGAATCACAATGGTGCCACTGTTAGGGACAGGTGCTGGTGGGCACATTTCCACTTCCAAACACAAAATTTCCCGATCAGTTATTAAACAAACCATTACCCACAACCTGTGTATTTGTTTACCTACTACTGTTTAAGGATACATGCAAGCACTTCTGTAAATATCTTAGAACAAACTACGATATTTCAATACACGCAACTTGTCCACGTATGTGCAGCACAGCACTGTTAAATAAAATTGCACATACAGCAATTGGCTCTAATCTGAAGGTATCAGTCTAAATATGATCCTTTTTGGCCTTGAACCCCAGTTCCCTCCTCATGTTCGCTTTCTCTCTGCCCTTATATCAGTGGACAGAGTACAGGGGCAAGTGTAATACTTAGGCAATGGTTGCAACAAATTCATATTCAAAAGTCATTTACAGAGGACAAGCTTTCCTATGAATTTCAGCACAAAGTGTAAAAAATGTGCTAGATTTTACTAAGTAACTTTGTCATTCCACTGCAACCTCTTGAACAGTTTCTAGGAAAGACTAAGATGCAAACTAATAGGATTCCGTGGTTTTGGTGCCATTACACGACACAATAACATACATCCAGGATAAGTAACCGACCACAATTACACAGACACAGGGAAACAAGGTTAATCCTGTCTCGCCTATAAGCACACTGCATAGAGCTCTTCCTTCTTCTCCCCCTACCCTGGAACCCACGCTGCAGCAAAACACAATGGGTGCTGCTCAAAGAGGAGGTGTCCTCCAGCTCATCTCCCCTCGCCCGCCCAAGCACCGTTCGTATGAAACTTTAACAGATAATATTCCATTGTAAACATATACCAAATTTTAATAATCCACTCATGAATGGATGGACACTTGGGTTGTTTCCACATCCTTGCAATAGTGAATTGTGCTGCCATAAACATTCGGGTGAAGATGTCTTTATAATAGAATGTATTATGCTCTTTAGGATAGATGTCTAATAATGCTATTTGCTGGGTCAAATGGTATTTCTATTTTTAGCTCTTTGAGGTATCTCCAAATTCTTTTCCACAAAGGTTGCACTAATTTGCAGTCCCACCAGCACTGTAAGAGTGTTCCTGTCTCTCCACACCCTCGCCAGCATTTGTTGTTTTGGGATTTCTTGATACAGGTCTATCTCACTGGGGATAGGTGATATCTCATTGTGGTATTGATTTGCAATTCACTAATCATTAGAGATATTGAGCATTTTTTTATATGTTTGCTGGCCATCATTCAGTCTTCTTTGGAAAAGTCTGTTCATTTCCATTGCCCATTTCTTGATGGGATTGTTTGATTTTTTTCTTGTTAATTCTTTTGAGTTCCAGATAGATTCTTATTACTAGACCTTTGTCGGAAGTGCAGAGAGCAAATATTTTCTCCCATGCTGTAGGTTGTCTATTTGCTCTAATGATAGTTCCCTTGGCTGAGTAGAAGCTTTTTAATTTGATCAGATCCCATTTGTTTATTTTTGTTACTGCAGTGATTGCTTTGGGGGTCTTCTTCAAGAATTCTTCCCCTTGGCCAATGTCTGAAAGGGTTTTCCCAACATCTTCTTCTAGCACTCTTAAGGTTTCATGACTTAGGTTTAAGTCTATTATCCATCTTGAGTGGATTTTTGTGAGAGGTGAGAGGTAAGGATCCTGATTCATTCTTCTGCATGTAGCTACCCAGTTTCCCAGCACCATGTATTGAAGAGAGATTCTTTTCCCCATTGTATATTTTCCCCTGATGAATACAGATGCAAAAATCCTCAACAAAATTTTAGGAATTAATTTATTTTTTGCTCTCTTCTTTATATTTTTCTTCTCTCGTTTCACATAGATTTTTCCCATTTCTCTACTATTGCTCTACCTTCTGTTGATATTTTCAAATATCTCAATTTATGTTCATAAATTGGGTTTATATTTTGGAGTGTTTGGTGTTGGTAGATGGGGAGTAATCATAGGTTCTACTAAGAAAGCAACTGTACTTACTGCATAACTTGTGTAACCTTATCTGCATGTTTGTTTGTTTCCCCAAAATTCATATGTTAATACCCTAAGCCCCAATGGGATCCTATTAGATGGGGATAATATTAGGAGATGGGGCTTTCGGAGGGTAAGGAGACAAGGGAATCTCTGCGTGTGCATGTAGCAAGGAAGGCCGTGTGAGAACACAACTAGAAAGAGTGTCCTTCCCAAGTTCCTGACCACGCTGGCACTCATATCTCAGACTTCCAGAATCCAGAAGTGTGAGAAATAAACTTCTGTTTTTCAGTCCACCCAATTTATGGTATTCTGTTATAGCAGCCTGAACTGACTGAGATACTACCACTCACCAATGAATCGTTTCCCCCTTCTTCCTCTCTGTGTCTCTTTCAGTCTTGCAAACCCAGGTACCATTTATTGTATTTCATTTTGAGGAAAACAAGTGATAGGCCAAGGAATGCACAAGAAATTATCAGTGACTAAAAATAACATTCACAATAATCAATATGAAGCTATCGTGGGTTTATTGAGAATGTCCAATACTAACATCATGTACCTTTTTTCACCAAGCATTTATTAAGCACCTATTGGTATCTGATATAGGTTAAAGCAAATCCTCGCAATCATGACAATCAGTGATGGTCATCAATCAAAGAAATCTCATGGGGTTCCCCACTGTTTCCACATAGAATTATAGATTTTCTTTAGTTATTTTCTCAAGGAGGATTCTGACTAAATGGGATTCTTGGAAATTGGTTAATCATTGATCAGAGTTGTTTTGCTTTCAATTGTTATGGCTTCTTTCTACTTTGGTCTTGAGGTCCCTGTGTTGAGAGTGGCCATAAGGCAAGATAAGTGCTCTCCAGGACAGCCCTGATGAGGGGAAAGTTAGGTTTAGGAGTGTGTTTCAGGCAACACACAATGAGGAGGCAAATCCAAGATGCATGAAACAGAAGAAATTGATTACTCACAGGTTCCCAGAGAGGTTAGGGGTGCAGACAGGAGGACGATAGGAAGTAAAGAGGTGGCAGGGAGCTCACCCAATGAGTAGAGAGCAAGAAGGGAAAGAACCTGTGGCCTCTGCATTTATTACAATCCATGGGCATTATAGCTTTTAGGGATTTCCATGGGGTTTGTGGATCCACTACTTTAAAGAACACATGTGAGAAGGTGAGGGGGGAACATCTTTACATGACTCTAATGTTGGCCTTTAGGCTTTACTATGGACAACAGCTGTGGGGTGTATTGGGCTTGGGTCAGTGAGATGAAGGAACAGCAAGTTATACAACCAGAGGTGGTTTCTGTATGGGAATTTCGGCTAGGGCGAAGGTAACAGGGTAGAACTGACTTTTAAACAACTTATGTGAGGCCTAAAAATGGATGCCAAGGTGGCAGCTATATAAAACACTTTTATGACAAAAGGGAAATCATCTGATATGGTGATTTACTGGGAGTGAGTGAGGGGTACTTAGCTCTTTGCCTATGAGGACCTATACAAAGATGAGCCATACCTGTGGTCCAGCTACCAGGGATATGCAATCTGTAAGTATGCCTTGAAGCCTAGACAACCCCATTAAGCTCATTATGTTGTTTATGGCCATCTGCTATGATGGCCATAAGCATCATGAATTTGGATTTCAACATCCAGAGAATTTTAGTCTAATGGGAAATCAAACTTTTCTTGAATATGTCTCCTTAAGGAGAACTTTGGCATCATTGGCCACTGTGTCAAGGAAATTAAATCGCAAGTAGTAGATTTTCCCAAAGTAATAAACTCCTCTTATGACACCTCCAAAAACTGAAAATAACTTCTTCATAACTCCCTTAAGTGTGTTCCCTGTTAATTCTTTCTTCTTCTTCAATAAACCTGGAGATTTAAGGCCTGCTTTAAGTTGTTCCACAGGTACTTGCAAATGCTTAGCCAAATGTTGCAGGGATTCATCGTCCACTCCAAAGAGAACTTGATAGTTGTTTAAGATCTCCTTGAGCTTTTTCTCTTCGCTGTCACTGAAGATGCTGATGATAGGCACTGTAGCCTTTAATGCATCTCTGAAGGCTTCTAGCCAAATATGCTGCTCCAAAGAATTCCTCTTACTTTCAATGGCTGCGTCAGTAATATTGGGCAGGGAAAGCATAAAAATGTGGTGCTTTTGAGCAGGGAGATCCTTTGATAGGGTGTCGATCAGGATTGGGAAATCATACTTGGATAACTCTCTGTTGGAGATTAAGAAGACTGGTGCTTCATCAATCTTATTCTCATTGAAAATGCGAAGACAGTTGTTTCGCATCTGCTGCAGGACTTTTTCTTTATTAAACGATTTTGGTTTACTCTCCTGTTCATTTCTTAAATCACAGTCCACCTTGGATCTCACAAAGTAAAAATTCTTCTTCATAGATTTGATCACTTTAGCCAGTTGTATATCATTGTTCTTGAAGCGTGTAGCAGAGACAATAATAAAGAAGTCATATTCAACAAGTTGTACTTTCTGTAGATAATCTTTTGGCTGGAAATTCGTGCTTCCAATGCCAGGCAGGTCCCATAGTGTCACACGGGGAAACTTTGGGTGTTTGTATGGCTTCCTCTCCATGGTGGTCTCCACCACCCCAGTGGGAGCCGCACCTTCGTCTTCAGGTCCAAGCTCTCTCAGGGCATTGATGAAACTGGACTTTCCCGCTCCAGACTCCCCTGTCACAGCGATGTTCAGTGTAGCATTATCAATTTCCTTTAAGGCATCCTCTATTACAGAGTGTGCTGCCACAATGTTTCCATTTCTCAAGTGTGACTCGATCGATACAGTAGTTTCCTTAGAGATGATTTTGCTTCCCACCCTAAAGTTGTTAAAATATGCACTAAAGCTGGAGGCCAAATCTTGGTGTTCTCCATCATGAGACGTAGCAGAGGAAAATTGATCCATGACTGTGAGCAGATAAAGGATCTAAAAGAAAGAAGAGTTATTTTGAAATAGATTACTATGCCCGAAGAACATCTTTGTTCTTGACTCTTAGCAGAAGTACTGCAGCTTCTCTCAGTTATGTCCTGACACAGATTAGTGTCCATGTCAATCTACCTTCACTTATTTAAACTTCTGATTATGGAGATTTTAAACTTGAACAAATCTGGGGAGAATAATATAATAAACCCCATGTGTCCATTAGCCAGCTTCAACAACTATCAAACATGGCCCATCCAATTTCATCTAAGAACACTGAATTACTCCATAGCAAATCTAAGACCAGTCACAAGTTAACACCTTTTATCTGATTGAATTGTCTTTAATCTACTCTCATAAAAATAGCTGGAATCATGATTTGAGGGAGGAAAAAAATGATATTTGACCCTAAACCCAATGATGTGCAGAAACGGATTATAGCCAAATGTGTTGACAATTAGTGTTCTGGAGTTTCCACTAGTCAGAATATTTTGTCTATGAGCTGTTGTCATTAATTTAGAGACATAACATACAAAACTTAGAAGACATTCAATCTTCAACTATTGAAGGGAAGGAGGACACAGAAAGAGGTAATAAAGTAAGCACAATTAGAGAGTAGGGAGTAAGGTGACAGAAAGAAGTACTGATATAAAATGAATTTCAATGAATACTATAAGGTGGATTCAGCTTACCAATTACAACATAAATGATCAACAGGCAGGATAGGATCAAGATGGCTGACTGAACGCAGGTAGCATGTGCCTCCTCCAGGAAGGGGAACTGGAATAGTAAGTAGATACTGACGTTTAAACAGATCATCTAGGCTGGGCTAGGTGGCTCACGCCTGTAATCTTAATATTCTGGGAGGCCTAGGTGGACGGATCCTTTGAACTCAGGGGTTGGAGACCAGCCTGAGCAAGAGCCAGACTCTGTCTCTTTTAAAAAAAATAGAAAAAATTAGCTGGACAACTAAAATATATATATATATATATTAAAAAATTAGCCGGGCATGGTGGTGCATGCCTGTAGTCTCAGCTACCTGGGAGGCTGAGGCAATAGGATTGCTCGAGTCCAGGACTTTGAGGTTGCTGTGAGCTAGGCTGACGCCAGGCTGGGCAACAGAGTGAGACTCAGTGTCAAAAACAGTAAAAATAAAAGTAAATTAAAAAAATGAAAATAAACTAAACAGATCATCTAGGAAGGCATGCTAGGATTCACCAGAGAAATGACAGGAAGCACTAAAAGTAAGTGAGGAGAGGGTTCAAGGCTGCTTGCCCAGCCAGGGACTGGCTGAGAGCTGGGAGAAGGTCCTGGATGTGGGGAAACAGTAAGAGAGACATCACCAGGTCTCCACACTCTGAAATGGGCTTGCACAGTTTTGGCTGTCGGAGAATTCCTTGACTCATATGAGCCTGGGGCCTACCATAGGGAACTGCCTAGAGATTGCACAGAGGCGCTGCTCCAAAAAGGAAACCCAAGTGGAATCCCACAGGCAGTTCAGCCTAGTGCACCTGCAGCCGGGTGTGGTTCTGAGAGTCTAGATATTGGGGATCTAAAAACACAGCTGCTGCTGCTGCTGTGCTGCTCTCAGGAGGGAGAGGGAGACTGAGGGCTCCCAGACAACTCTGGGAAGGTCCCCACTACCCTGCTGCAGGCTGCTATTGAGACTAAGCTGTGAGCAGATCACACTCCCCATAGCTTCTTGCCCACACTGCTTGCCTGGAAAGGGCCCACTGTCTCTGTTCCTGAGACCCAGGTACCATTTTGAGAGTCTAATGCTACATGGGACCCTGCACTTGCACAGTTTGGGCAGCAGATAATCCAGCTAAGGAGAGAGAGGAAACCAGGCTCATCTAAGCATACCTAAGACGATACCCACCACCCTGCAACAGGCTGCTGTGAGACCCAGATGCACACGAATCATACTCCCCACAGCTTGATGCCTAAGCCGCTTGCCTGAAAGGGGCCAACCCTCTCTGGCTGTGGGACCAAGGCCCCACCTTATGAAGTGAACACTGTGCTTGTCCGGCCCTCAGGCTGATGATCACCAGGTCAATAAAGAAAAAAAGATGGAAATTTACAATTTTTGAAATAATTAAAAATAACAACCAACATACCAAAACCTGTGGGATACGGAAAAAACAATGGTAAGAGGGAAGTTTATAACATTAAATGCCTACATCAAAAAAAGAAAAGACTGAAATTTAATAACCCAATGCCACACCTGAAAGAACTAGAAAAACAAAACAAAACAAACTCAAAGTTAGCAGAAGAAAAGAAATAACAAAGATCAGAGCAGAACTAAATTAAACAGAGATCACTCCAAAAATATACAAATGATCAATGAAACAAAAAGTTGGTTCTTTAAAAAGATAAACAAAATCGAGAAACCACTAGCTAGACTAACCAAGAAAAGAAGACTACAATCCAAATTATTCTGAAATGAAAAGTGAGACATCACAACTGACACCACAGAAATACAAAACATCATCAGAGATTATTATGAATAATTATATGCTCACAAACTAGAAAACCTAGAGAAAGTTCATAATTTCCTGGAAACACACAACCTCCTGAGCTCGAACCAGGAGGAAATAGAACTCCTGAATAGACCAATAATGAGTAGCAAGATTGAGTCAGTAATAAATAAAATGTCCCAACCAAAAAAAGCCCAGGACCAGATGGATTCACAGCTAAATTCTACCAAACATAC